CCAATCATCACCGAGGGATCCACTGAATTTAAAGTCCTGGAAGATGCATGGACTGTGATCTCCCTAGACAACCAAAGGTGTTTGCTCTCTGCTTTGCTGGTTTGGAAAGGGAAGGTGGGTCGGACACCAGGCCGGGCGCAGAGAGCTCCTCTCTGCTCGCTTGCGTCCTGACTGCTGCCTTGTGTTTCAGGGCCGCCCAGTTCGAGCACACAGTTCTCATTACGTCGCATGGCGCGAAGATCCTGACCAAACTGTCCCACGAGGCCTGAAAAGCCTCTCGAAGGCTGCAGAGGCTCCCCTCCTCGCCCCCCTCCCCTCCACCAATTGCCAAAATCTTCTAGAAACGAAGGAGCAGCAGGTCGTTCTGTGACCTCCGTAGTATCCGGTAGTGTCTTGGGGAAAACCGGGTGGGCATGAGGAGTAGAGCCATGGGAACTAAGCAACTTGGGAAAGATGGGTCGTGGCGCCGGTTATGGAAACCCGTCTGGAGAGGCATGATGGTGCCTTCCTCTGGGAGCGCGGGAGCTCCAGGGTAGCAGTTTTCCTTTTCCCTTGTTAGTGAAAGGTGAATGAATTAATAATAATAAAAATAACCTCTTAAACTCACTGCGCCTGCTTTCCTTGCGTCTGACACTCCTGAGGGGAACTCGGGGCTTGCCGTCAGGTGGGCTTAGTTTTGGAGTCCCTGAACTTTTACCCACGCGCGCTCCCGCACCGAACAACCCGAACTTGTTAGCTGAATTTTTTAAGTCTTCATTCCTCCTTGTAGATGCCACGTCGGCCGGCCCCGAGGGCGCTTCCGAAGGCCAGCACTTGCTCTCAGGACAGCCCCTGGGTTCATTTCCCCCTTCATCACGGTTTTCCCATGAAAGATGAGCCCGACAACAGAAACAGTGATTACATTTTCCTGACATGCATACCGGGCCTGGCCCTTCCGCAAGGTTGTATTACTTTAGAAGCTTAGACTTTCTCGGTTCCCCCCGGACCCCCCCCCACCGCCCCCCCCCCCCATTAACTTTAAGACCTTCCTTCTAGTCCCCACCCCCTCCAACACGCACGCAGGCTCGCACCCCGAATTCCAGCTGCAACCCTCCACTGGCCCAGATGTGAATATCAGACAGATTAGCGAGGTCCTCTAGTCCCTAAACTGACCTCTCCTGGACTAAGTCTCTTGGGGCCGGCGCCTAGCCCTCTGCACCGGCAGCAAAGATCAACGCAGTTCAGAAACACAAAGGATCCCAGACAGAAGACCAGGGCCAAGCTGGCCAAGCCAGCTCCAACTTGCTTGAGAAGCAGAAATCCACCTCCACCCCGCTTTCCCAAGGCTTATTTCTGCCCAGAGTACCCCTTCCTTCCCTGGCGCTTCTCTCCTGCACCTGTTCACACCTGGCTCAAGGGCGGGGCGGGGCAGGGCGGGGCGGGGCGGGCCCTCAGGCGGTCTCTCAGGAAGCTCTTCACGGGGTATGGTTTGTGGAACAAGTTCAATAAGAGTGTCCCCGAAGTCAGCAAATGAGTGTTAACCCTTGTTTATACTAAAGTGAGGCCATCAGCTAAATAGATTTCAGGCTCATGAGTCAAGGACATGTGGGCACCTGTAGTTGCCAGGACACATGAGGTCTGTGGATCTCCAGCAGGAGTTAGCTCATCTTTGTGACTCCGAAGTGAAGGGCCTGAGAAACCAAGGACAATGAGCAGACTCAGAAAGACAATGAGTTTGAACTCAGGACTCTGCGCAGCCATTCCCCAACCCTCCAACTCATTTCTCCAGTACAGGAATGTAGAGTTTGGGACAGAGGTGATTCTGCTTCTAGTAAATCTGAGAGCTGGAAAAGATAAAGGAGAGATTGAGGTTTTACAAGACCCATGGATAAACTTTTAGGCTTTCTGGAGTTAGCTGAGTGAAGTCTGCTGCCAAGTAACAAGTCCTATTCCCTGGAGGGAAACAGGGCCCAGCTGGCCCTGGAAGATGTTTGCCAGAGAATGACTTCACTTGTCTCCTAGAACAATCAAATTGCAGCGATTAGTGCAGTATCTTTATCTGCAGATCCCTTTACTCCCAGCTTCCCTAAGGATAGCTTTCTGAGGACCACAGGATTTTACAAGCTACTGGGGTAACACGCTCAATTATTGTGAGGTAGAAGTGTTTGGGAAAGGTATATAATCCTATTCAACTGACTGACATACATGTGTATATATTTGTGTGTGTGCATATATGCATATATATGTGTATATATATGTTCATTACTGTCAATACTCAGCAGCTCTGTAGGAAACAAACTTGAATTGGAATGAACTTTGTTTAACATTCTTTGAAGTTGAGATTAGGAAATAAAACCTCCTTTAGTCTATGCCTCCTTTCCATCTGGCAGCTGAACTGACCTAAAAAACTTAACCCAGAACCACAGGGATTCTAACTAAGCAGGGGTATGTTAATACCACCAAAGCCACCACTTGGTCCTAAGAAGATTCTAGTAAGCGCTACCTAGAATCGCAAACCGCAAACCTTCAGGACCAATGGGAGAATTGCTTCCTCTCATAGTTGGAACAGGTAACCCTCTAAGCAAACGGGCATTTTAGAATAGATGTCGCCTCGTAGGGTAGGGTGATGGGAGGAATCCACTCAGGCCTCACAGAGCGAAGAATGCACATTGAGAAGCTAATGCCAGGTTGCACTGGTTGAGCCCAGGGCCTCGGCTCAGCCATGTCCTTACACCTGCTTCTTTCTCTGCGTTAAGACATCTTGGTGGTGCTCCCTCACCAACGCGCAATTCAATTCTACATTAAGCCAAGACTGAAACCTGATCGGGACGAATCTCGTGCGGGACACTTTTTCCCCAAGACCCAACCAGGTCCCCTGCACCGCGAAAGTAATAACCCTCCCCTTTTAAGACGTGGAAGGACGAGCACCTAGGACACTGTGGTGACTCGGGTCCCTCTCTCTCTCTCTCTTTCTTCTTTCCCTATCCTGCGCTTGTCTGGGATAAAGCGGCCCCACGCGGCCTGGCCGTCGGGTTTCCTCGCGCCTGGTCCTGAGCTCCAGGAGACACTAGTCCCGCTTTCCCGGCCCCAACCTCTACCCTACACCCGCCGCAGCGATCACTTACGTAGGCAGGGCCCGAAAGGCGCTGGCGAGAGACCCCAGGCTCTGACCGCATCCGAGCGGCTGTGCTGGGCGCGCAGGTCAGCACTCCACTCCACACCCAAAACAGGCTCTAGGAAGGAGCAATTAAAGCCACAAGTGCAACAGGGAAGATGAGCCTAGCGGCTCGGAGAGTTGTCTAGCCGCGGAGTCATTAGTTGGTTGTTGCTACAAAGCCTCATCGTGTGGCACGGTGATTAAGAAGAAGGAAAAAAAAAAAACTCACTTAAGTGTTGGCAAACCCGTTATTGGCCTGAAGGATTTGGGTTGTTGGTGTTTTTTTTTTTTCCTTTTGTTTTTCTCTTTTGCTCCAACCACGCTGCCTGAAGTATTTCTACCCCCAGCATCATGCCCTTAAACCAAAGAAGGGGAATTCTGCAGGCAGGAGCTGTTGCTACAGAAGTTTAAAAAAGAGAACTCCCCCCCTCCCCGCTACTAATATCTGTAACGACAGCACCGATGTAATTTGTTTTGAATGCTCATTTTTTATTGGTGTTCCCTCTGCCAAAATGTGCTTGATTACAGAGGTTTGTCCTGTGATCATTGCACACTCCAGACGGGAGAAGGTGCAGCGGCGAAGGTTCAGCTCAGGCCAGATCAAATCCCGGGCTGTTTAACGCTGAAAGGCTGCATGTTGCTATTAGTGTTAAATATATGGCTAATTATGCGTATGAAAATTAAACATCAGTGTTATGCTAATGGGGCGCCTTCAGCTGCGGATCTGAGCACTTGAGACTACCATTTAATCAAATGAATCAGTAACTAATACATCTGCACGTGTGAACTTTCACAAGATCATTTCCCCGTTCCCGTCACACCGCTAAATTATGAAAGAAATAATTATCAACACTTTCTAATTACCTAACAAAGTAATTTGGGATTCACCGTGGGGCTGGAGAGATAGGGGAACCAACAGCCCCTAGCAGCCAGCGTGGTTTGCGCCCCGGCGCGAGGGGACGGCCGTGTAGCAGTACTGGCATGGGGGGGATGGGGGCCCTCGCGGCTTTTTTGTGAGCTTTTTGCTATATCTAGCACCCCAGAAGACAGAAGGCTGGCTCTTGCCTCTTCCAGCCCTTTCCTCCAGGCCCAGAGGCGCCTGCTTTGACCACTGGAGGTGAGGAAAATCTTGGGCGACAAAGAGAGACCTGTCTAAGCAGAAATACTCTTGCCTCCCACAGGTCTGGTTTTGCTGCGGGTTTCGGTGTCTCCCGGGGACTCCGAAACCCTGGCTACTCTCGCCAGATCCTAGGAGAGCCAGAAAATGAACCACTGAAGTCTACGGCTCAAACTGCGCTGAGCCCGTGCGCCCCGGGGCTCTACGCTGCGCCGCGCGCTCCGGGCGAGTGAGCCTGGGGCGCTGCGCTCGCGGGGAGTAGAAAGGGGAGGGGGAGGCGCTGGAAGGTTGGGAGGGAAAGAGGGGTGTGTGTTGGGGGAGGGAGGCGGTGCGGCCGCCTCTCCTGGGAGGAGAAGCGCGGGTTCCTGACTCTCCTCCACGCGCACTGTTCTGATCAGACCCGTTCAGCCCGGAGCTGGAGTGGCCAGCTGGGCCAAGAGCAATGCCAGCGGGCCCCTGGGAGCGGCGGCGGCGGCGGGGCGGCGGCCGAGTGAGTGAGTTGGTCCGGAGGGTCCCTAAGTCCCAGCCCCGGGAAGGTGGCCGCCCGGCGGACGGGGCCTGGGAGGAGGCGCGGCTTGGAGGGCGCTGAGCTAGGCACAAAACGCTCTGGAGGATCGCTGTCAGTCGCCTGCCTTGGGCGCCCCCCAGCGCGCTACTCCGAGGTCGAAAGGCAGTGATCGGCGTCTGTCACGGTCCTAGCTCAGCATGGGACTTGGTTGGTGGCGACCCGAAGTCGTCCCAAGTCCTAGGTGTTGGGGGCGGGCGAAGGGTGGGTACAGTAGTGGGGAGGGCCACCGCGCGGAGCGGCTGGTTGGTTTCCGGAAAGGAAAGCGTACAAGGGAGGCGGGGAGGCTGAAGATCTGGGCCTCGGAGGTCCCAGCGCGGATGCTCAACCCGTTGTGCGTCTCGCACCGCGCGCTCTCTCGCAGAGGAGCCCCGGCCGGGAAGTGTGGACCCGTCTCTCCCCAGGCCCGGTCGAGTTGCCCGCTCTAGTCCAGCGGAGCCGGAGCGTCTCGGACCAATCCCCGGTGATTATGCAAGACAGCCGACCAATCAGCTCCTCCAGCTCATGAATATTTATGACCTTGGCTAAGTCAAAGCTTTGAACCGAGTTTGGGGAGCTCGGCAGCATCATGCTTAGACTTTTCAAAGAGACAAACTCCATTTTCTTATGAATGGAAAGTGAAAACCCCTGTTCCGCTTAAATTGGGTTCCTTCCTGTCCTGAGAAACATAGAGACCCCCAAAAGGGAAGCAGAGGAGAGAAAGACCCACACCCAGACCCCGCGAGAAGAGATGACCATGACCACCATGCCAGAAAGTCTCAACAGCCCCGTGTCGGGCAAGGCGGTGTTTATGGAGTTTGGGCCGCCCAACCAGCAAATGTCTCCTTCTCCCATGTCCCACGGGCACTACTCCATGCACTGTTTACACTCGGCGGGCCATTCGCAGCCCGACGGTGCCTACAGCTCGGCCTCTTCCTTCTCCCGACCGCTGGGCTACCCCTACGTCAACTCGGTCAGCAGCCACGCGTCCAGCCCCTACATCAGTTCGGTGCAGTCCTACCCCGGCAGCGCCAGCCTCGCCCAGAGCCGCCTGGAGGACCCAGGTATGTGCGCTTGCCAGGGAGAGAAGGAAAAGAGGAGACGAGGGAGAGGGAAGGAAGGGGTAGGGGCCGAGAGCGAAGGCTGGAGAGAGGGGCCGAGAGAGGTAGGGTGGAGGGGGGGAGGGAGGGCGCGGGAGCGGTGGAGGTTTCAGATATCAATCTATGGATCCTTGTCATAGCAAAGAAAAAAAAATAAAAATAAATCCACCCAATTTACAACTATCCAGCAAAGGATAAACCGGAGAGCGTCTCCTGGCACCGTCTGGGCCTCTGGGCGGCTCAGTGTGCCGAGCACACAATGCCCTGCTGGAAAACAGAAACCCACACGTGCACGTATTAGTCGCGGTAATTATTTATTGCGTAGCGCTATAAACAATGTATGCAATTAAGGGTAATTAAACCTCAACTACCGCCTGCAAAAAATAGCAAACTTTCTCTGCAGAGGCAATGGCTGCGTTCTTGGGAATGGCCCCATCCCGGCTGCAGCCGCTAGGAACAAGTGTCCTCGGACTTTGGGGGCGGTGGAACCCTTCCTAGGCTTTCAGAGTTTCTTGAACCTTCTCTCCCTGGTCCTGCGTCGGCCATCCCGCTTTCGTCTCTCCGCGCTAAAGGCAACCCCCCCGCATTAACGACAGCTCCCCGCTTCTGCCGTCCCTCCAGGGGCGGACTCCGAGAAGAGCACCGTGGTGGAAGGCGGCGAAGTACGCTTCAATGGCAAGGGAAAAAAGATCCGCAAACCCAGGACAATATATTCCAGTTTGCAGTTGCAGGCTTTGAACCGAAGGTTCCAGCAAACTCAGTACCTAGCTCTGCCTGAGAGGGCGGAGCTCGCGGCCTCGCTGGGACTCACACAGACTCAGGTACCTCGCCGCCGCCCAGCAGGCGCCCCGGCGCCCGGCCTGAACTCGGGGTGCTTTTCTTGAAACTCCCCGAATCCCCTGGAAGCATTTCGTAGGTGTTGGGCCTCACAGGCGGGGTGTCGCTCGGCGTGTGTGTGTGTGTGTGTGTGTGTGTGTGTGTGTAAGGGACGGGGGAGGTGGTGTGGGTGTCCACTCTGGCCTCCAGCATCTCCCCGTCCTCCCTCATTCTCTCTGCCCTCGCTCGGTCCCTGCTTCTCGGTCCACCGACGGGTCGGCGGCCTGGTTCTCCCTCCATCTCTGGACAATCTGATTAGGGCGCCGGAGGGATGTCCCCGGAGGTTTTGTTTGGGGGATTCTAAGGTCGCACGTGCCCACACAACCGGAACAATAGAAGCAGGACTTAATCCCTCCTTCTTCTCAAAGTGTGTGGCTAATCACACCGGGCCTGGGCCCGCGCCCGCGCCTCTCTCTCTCTCCTCCTCCTCCTCCTCTTCCTCATTCCTGTGCCGCGGCTTGGGAGATCCTTCTCCCCAGACCCTAAATTTAAAAAAGGGGACTTTCTTCCTCAGATTTCTCTAGAGCTCATAGGCATTGTGACCGGCTGGCGCGGGTTTCCAACGTCCAGCCCGGGATTTGGAATGGAACTGGGGGCAGCAAATAAACCCTAGGGGAAAGGTTGGTTTGATTTCAAGGAAAAGTTCAGCAGAAATATTGGGCCTCCACAGTGGGTCTCCAACTGGCTGAAAGGCAGGAAGACAACCGCAAAGAGAAGGCTGTGGATTTGCCAATACATTTCCTCCTCTCCTATCTAGGGGTTTTTCGAAAATATCTTTATTAAGATTGCTACTGGAATTGGGTAGTGTCTGCACCATGGGCAGACCTGAGCCGAGGTCTCCCTGAGCTACTAACTGGCAAAGACCTGTAACCTCTGCGGCCTTTATCCCCGGACCTCCATGATCCTCCTCCACCCCCACCTTTCTCTCTGGGAACCGCTCCTGTGGGCCACCATCAGCCTGGGGTGGGAGATGTCTAGCTATCTGGTCTGTGGTTCTCGTGGAGAGGAAGTGCCTGTCTCTGCTCCTCTAGCTGGAGCTACCAGCTAGCCCAGACCCTAGGTCTGTTTTCTCCTACAGTCCCTTCTTTCCTCCCAGGTAGGTTCAGCATAATGACGTTGTTGTCCGATCTTGCAGGTCAAGATCTGGTTCCAGAACAAGCGCTCCAAGTTCAAGAAGCTGATGAAGCAAGGCGGGGCCACTCTGGAGGGTAGCGCCCTGGCCAACGGCCGGGCGCTGTCTGCAGGATCTCCACCGGTGCCGCCAGGCTGGAACCCTAACTCTTCATCCGCAAAGGGCTCAGGCAGCAGCGCGGGTTCCTACATCCCCAGCTATACGTCGTGGTACCCTTCAGCGCACCAAGAAGCTATGCAGCAGCCGCAGCTCATGTGAGGTTGCCAGCCTGCACCTACCCATCTCCTACCCGTCTCCTTTGCTCCAGGCCCCTCCTGCCTCCAGGTCCATCTACCCTGTCCGCGTGCCCTGGCCTGGGAGAGGAAGGGCTCAGAGGGAACAAAAGGAACAGTGAAGCCCCGGAGGCCTGCCTGCCTCCCTGCAGCCCCTCGAATTCTGACCCAGCAACTTTCCAGCGCCCATCTCTAGGCCCCAACCTGTCCTGGCCCACGCGGTGACAGCCGTGTGAGACCTTGAATCACAGGCACAGCCATCCTAGACAGCCTAAGCCACGAGACAAACCCGCTGCACCGGACACGCCGACTCTCAGCTTTGTGGGACTATCAGGAAAAAAAAACATAAACAAAAACAATGTAGAAAAAAAAAGCAAAAGCTTTGTTCTGTCCGTCTCTTGAGTCTCCTTTTTGCTCTGTTTGTGCGCTGAGTCAAGGTCCTCCTACGTCTGCTGTCCTCATTCTTCGGCCTCAGCAAAAAGTCACCAGGTCTGAGCCACACACGGTCTGCTGGGCCGCCCATTTCCGTATCCTGGGACGTTTTTGTCCTTTCTGGCCTTTCTCGGGGCCCTGCCTGACCATCAATGTCATTTGTTTGGGAACTGGGGGAAATTGGAGGGAGGGGTTTTATTTATTGAAAAAAAATAGACTTGGTCTGAGGTTGAGTATTGGCCAATTTGAAGTTCTGTAGGGTGTGGAAAGGGCATTGTCCAAATGCACTGTTTACCTTAAACCCACCCGGAAAAAAAAACCAATAAATAAGGAAGACATAATGATTTTTAACTTATACAATAACTTTTGTACTTCACTGGTCTAGAGTGGTTGAAGCAGAATGATTTGCATTTTTTACATGTCTCATATTTTCAAAATAATAAATAAAAGAATGAAAACGATAAATACCAAAATGAAGAGATAAAGTCAACATGGTTTTGTCATTTCCAGGGAATGTTTGGATGCTTTGCCTGGACAACATGGAAAGTCCTAATTTGAGTAGAAAGAAAGGACCCATGGGCAGCGGAAGAAAACAGACAGGTGTGAGCAAGTGGTCTAATGCCAGTGAGCTTTAAAGCCAGACAAAAGCAGCTTTACACCAACCCCCAGCAGCTTGACCACAGAGTAATGCCAGTCACCACCCTCAACCGTACAGTCTACAGTGCAGGATCAAATCGCTGTATATATTATTATTGTTATTATTATTATTGTTCTGTAAACATGTTGCACAAGTTTAGCCTCTTTCCGTTCTGTTGTGTGTGGCTGTAAAACCCAATGCTTTGTGAAATGAGAATCTTGACATTTTACTTGTGAAATTGGAAAATGTGACCAATTGAAAACGGTGTTTTGTGTTCTCTATGTCAAAGTTTAGTTTTATATTGAGAATGTTAACTTATTGCTTTGTATCTTGGGGGGGGGGGAAAGAACTTTGTAAATAAGTTATAAAGTTTCTTTGAGACAGTAAAATTATGGTTTCAAGAAAGTATGGCTGTCTCCTCTACTGGGAAGGGGAAGACGGGGTTGGTCAGTCTCCTACCTCTGGATACAGGTAGCCTGGGTACAACTTCTTGTTTAGGACAGATTGGAGGCTTCTGGCTCCATAAACATATTATAGCAAGACCTGTAGGATGACCCAATGGGCATCTTCTTGCCTTGTTCCCTTGGCCTTCAAGGAGTCTGATGCCACCAGAGTTGCAGGAATGGGGAGAATGTCTCGAAAACATTGAGGGAGAGGATTCAAACAGGTGTGGCAAGCAGAGAAGGGGCTCTGAAAACCAAAGAACAGGTGAAGACCCTCAGAGATGAGAGGAGAGGATCAGCCCCTCAGACTGGCCTTCCTTCCCCGCCCGGAAGGAAAGTGCTCCTTTTGAAAGCCTGGAAGCAGAGACTCTGGGCTTTCCTCCTAGCCTCCACCCGGATCTGGCCTCTCCACTTTTGCTTGCCTGGAGGCACTAGAACTCGACTCAAAGACACAACCAGACTTCCAGACAGGGGCCGGAAGGACTGGTCTGTCAGGCGGGTCCCCCCACCCTCTCCCATCAATCAGTGAGCTCTAGGGGGGTGAGGCGCAGTCACGGGGAGATACCAGGGCCCCTCCACGGGGAGAAAAAAAACCAGCTCTTAGGGAATGATTAGGAATTTAGGTGACTGGCTGGAACTAGAGTTAACCAGAGAGACCAGCACAGCACCCCAACTCCCGCCATGAAGTCCCAAAACCAGGCCATTAATGGGGGCACTTCTACTAGAGCGCTGGGGCTAAGTTCGCTCCAGAAAAACGCAGGTTCCAAAATACTAGAGACCCGGTGGACTCCTCTGGTCTGGTAGCCCGCACCATAACTCAGCCTCAACCCCAACCCCAGCCCCCAGGCCCCACAGGAGAGGCGGCAACCTCCTCAAGTTCTGGGTTCGACAAGCAGTTTTGCACCACTCCCGCTATCCTGGCACCCGCCTTCCCGGTAGGCTGCCGGCGGGGGCTGGCCCTTCGCCTTTGGGGGGCCCCCTTCCCGCGCGCGGTGGGGAGCAGAGCCGGGAAGGCAGTGATCTGTGTTGTGACAAGCACCCATTTTTCAATTGGTGCTGGTGAGAGATCAGATGCGCCGGGCTCTTCCGACGCCCTTTGGGAAGGGGAGGAGGAAGTGGCAGGGCTGGTGGGGGGCGGTGTAATGGAAGGAGCAGGGGAGGTGGTGCGGGATAAAGCCTGGGACCTCACACCACTTCTGGACCTGAAATTGTGACCTGTCCTCGCTAAGCGGTAGTCGGAACCGAGATCAGACCTGGGTTACTAGGGTTCGGACTGCCGGTGAAGGACCGGCCTCAAAGCACAGAGGGAATCAATTTCTCTGGCTAGGCTCTGAGTGTGGGCAAGGCTTCCCCTGAGATAAGCGACTTTAGTGGCAGGGGGTTTCTCATGCATGTGACTCTTGTCCCCTGGACGGCAGTTAGGGCCTAATGGTCCAAGCCTTAGGCAAAATTCGTTTGGTCAAGCCAGTTTTAATACTTGGAGATATTAGCTTATACTAATTTAATAATCTCTTGCAAACAGTTCAAATAGAGAAATTATTAGTTTTAGCTCAAGGAAGGCGGTCTTTAGTTAGGCGCTATTATAATTATAAGCGGTTGTATTTTTAAAAAATGTTAATCTGAATATAGGCCTAATTAATGCTGCCTTGTTACTGACAAGTAGTTCATCAAATATCTGATTCAAAGATTTTCATAATGAGTATATTAATTAAACTATGAATAATCTAAAGGTGGTTATATTTAAACAATACCTCATTATAATGATTAAATACTGATTTCGAATATTATGTCTTAACAATTGTCACTTAGAAAACACAACCTTTCCTTATGTATGAGTCTGTAATGGCAAAATGCAATTTTGGGATTTTTTTCCCCTTGTTCAAAAAATGTGAACCTCATTTTAAAACACTTCTGAAATAGGTTACACACAGCTTAATGATTATCAAAATGACTCTTTTCTGCAAAAAAAGACCCCAAAGTGCGCGTACAGCTGCAAACCCAAGAGGGTCAGCATCATTTCACTGTATTCTCTTCTTGATTACAAGCCGGGCCCATCAAACACAACATAATTACAGTAATTTCAGGTTTATTTATTCTAATGCAGTTTCCCCATCTCTCTGGTAATTATGAGCAATTTTTTCGCCCAGGGAATCTTTTTGCATTAACAAAAGAGATAACGCACTGAAAGCCAAATTTGCTGTGCATTGAGAAAAGGAAAAAAAAAATCAAATAGGTGCGAGCTGCCATCTCTGCAATTCTCCGGTACCGGAGCCGGCAAATTGCTTGCAGGTGTATGGAGCAAGCTTGTCAATGGCCGGGCCTCCAAATTAGCAAATGCACATCGGCAAAGTAATGAAGACAGACTTAGCAAAATTGCCAAACAACAGATACCTCTTTAATATCTTTGCTCACACACACTAGCTCTAAAATGGGGTAGAGCCTGGGGGTGGGGGAATAAGCAACCGTCCCCAGCTCCCTCCTAACTGATCTTGGCTTTCATAAGCCTGGATGGGCTGGGTAGTCCTGTGAGTGGTGAAATCTATTCATGGAAGAACTTGGATCCTAAATTTAGGCAATATCTTATAAATATAACACTGGAAACATTCACTAGAATTCACAGCTTCTCCTCATTGATTATTATATTTTATTTCTATTTCTTTCTTCTGGGAACTTACACCAGGACTGAGTTAGGTGCCTCTTCAGACTTTTTGGTCCTGTAGTAGGACCAAATGCCAAAAAGTTTAAAAGAATCCTTCCTACCTGTATGTCCCAAAGTGTGATTTTTTTTTTAATTCAGAATCATTTGATGAAGAAATTAACTAAAAATCTCTTCCCTTGAAGAAACTGTGCGTTTCTATTACTCAGAGAAACAGAGGTCTGGGTGCTGGATATAGAACCTGAGATAATAGATCCAGAGAAATAATTGGTTGGAAAGGAGCAAGGTACCCCTCCCCCTTACATTTTGATCCTGGCATCCATCTCTTTCTTCCTGCATCTTTTATAAACCCATTTCACAATCCTCTGGTTCTTGTCATCCTACCACCTGGGTTAAACACCCCGGAAATCATAGGCTTAAAGCAAACTTTGCTGCTCTCATCCCACATGGCCACAGGAGCCGCCATCAAATGTAGAACAGAGGGTAAGTAAGGGTCTCTTTTTCTCATGCCTCAAAGAATCCTGTTCTCAACTCCATAACAAACCCCATTTCCAGTGTAGACAGGCAAAAGACTCTAAAGGGTGCCTTCCTCAGCCTCAAGACACATATTACCCCCACCTACCATTTCCCTATCCCCTCCCTCATCCCCCAATCTTCAGGGATTAACACTTCCTGAAACATCAAGTGTTTTTATAAAAAGAGAAAAAAAATAATCCTGACATCGCTGACAAGAAGTTTTGATGGAAGAATTAGCTGGTGCATACATAATCATTCCCCACCCTCCTGCTCCCGGAGCGGGAGCCGTGCGGCAGGCACAATGCAGCCTTCCAACCCTCTGAAAAATGAAACCGGTTTCCACCCTTACCTTCTTCAGTGTCAATTTCAGATAATCTGGACACACACTCTTTGCTACATCAAATCAAAAGGGTCGAGGCGGCTTT